ATCTCAGTGTCCATAAAGCTTTGTTGGAACACAGCCACATCCATCCAATTATAGTCCATCTCTGGCTGCTTTTATGCCACAACAGCAGAGTTAAGTAATTGCTATAGAAACTGAATGATTTGCAAATCCTAGGGTATTTACTACTGGGCCTTTCTGGAAGCTTGCTAAAGCCTATTTTATGAGAAAGGTGCTTATGCAGATATGAGAAAAAAAAAAACTTACGTACAAAGTTTTTATAGCAGATCTTATAATAGCAAGATCAGAAACAACCCTAACATCCCCAGAAGAGGGATGGTTAATCATTAGTGGTTCATTTGTAAAACGGAGTATTATAGAGCTATAAAAAGGGTAGCGAACTTTGCGTGCCCAGAGGGTTTTTTTTTTTTTTGAGAGACAGAGTCTTATTTTATTGCCCTCGGTGTTTTATCTACCCATGGTAGAGTGCTCTGGTGTCACAGCTCATAGCAACCTCCAACTCCTGGGCTTAGGTGATTCTCTTGCCTCAGCCTCCTGGGTAGCTGGGACTACAGGCGCCTGGCACAATGCCTGGCTAGATTTTTGGCAATTTGACCGGGGCTGGGTTCAAACCTGCCACCCTTGGTATATGGGGCTGGCACCCTACCCACTGAGCCACAGGTGCCACCTGAGCCCAGAGGGTTTTATGGAGATGAGATGACTAAATACAATGGGGGCCTGGGACAGACTCCAGACAGGGTCCTGGGACAGAGAAAGGACATCAGGAAAACAAAGGAAAGCTGAAGAAAGTGTGAACTTTAGTTTAAAACAATGCAGGCAGTCCCTGGGTTACAAACAAGATAGGTTCTGTAGCTTCATTCTTAAGCTGAATTTGTAGGTAAAACAGGTACATTTACCTATTATCTGCAATTACTTCCGTTTGTAAGTATGAGTTGTACTCAAGTTGGCTGTTTGTAACTCGGGGACTGCCTGTAATGAATCAGGCCAGGCGTTGTGGCTCATGCCTATAATCCTAGGACTTTGGGAGGCTGAGGTGGGAAGGGTCACTTGAGACCAGGAGTTCAAGACCAGCCTGAGTAGAGAGTGAGACCCGTTTCTACAAAAAATAGCAAAACATTGGCCTCATGTGGTGGTGCACATGTGTAGCCCCAGCCACTGAGGAGGCTAAGGCAGAAGAATCACTTGGAGTTTGAGACTGCGGTGAGTTAAGATTGTGCCACAGCACTCCAGCCTGGGCAACACGGGAAGACCCTGTCTCAAAATAAATAGAAATGAATCATTAAGGTATTAAATGTACCATCCTAACATAAGATGCCAATATGGGGAAACTGGGTGCCAGTGTATGAGACCTTTTGTGCCATCTCTGATAGGATGAAGCAGGCACATAACACACCATTCTCAACATGTACAGATGTGTATGTAGGAGGGCAGAGAAAAGAGGATTTCTTTTCTTTTCTTTCTTTTTTTTTTTGGTGTGAGACAGAGCCTCAAGCTATCCCCTGGGTAGAGTGCTGTGTCATCACAGCTCACAGCAACCTCCAACTCCTGGGCTCAAGCGAGTCTCCTGCCTCAGCCTCCCAGGTCCCAAATAGCTGGGACCACAGGTGCCCACCACAACGCCTGGCTATTTTTTGGTTGCAGCTGTCGTTGTTTGGTGGGCCCAGGCTGGATTCGAACCCGCCAGCTCCAGTGTATGTGGCTGGAGCCTTAGCAGCTTGAGCCACAGGCGCTGAGCTGAGGATTTCTTTTCTTTTCTTTTTATTAGATCATAATTGTGTACATTAATTCTATCATAGGATACAGTGTGTTGCTTCCACATACAGTTTGAAAAACTGTTTAACTAGTCAAATGAAGCAGTGGGAGTAGAGAAGGAACAAAGGAATCTGTAACTGGTTGTGATCAATTAGTTGTAAACACCACTGTGCTTGGACCAGCCAACGGGGGATTTATTCTGAGATTTTAGTTTGTAACAGAAACTTTGAAGGATTCATAAGAAACTAATATGTGTATCTAGCCACACGAATGAACTGCTTATTCAAAACAAATAAAACCCCCAATCTTGGAAACTGCTGAAGTTAGCCCCAGGTTAAAGTTTTCCATTTCCTTAGCAATACCTCGGTCTGCTGCCCGTCCATCCCTAGGCTCCCACAGAGTGCTTTATTTCTGATCATTTTTCTTTCCCTTTTGCCCTCCTCTCATCTGCAGCCCCATAACCCGTCTCGTTCCAGGAATCCGGTGGAACAGCTGAGCCCTCTCAGCTTGAATTAGGGCATGGAGCATTTAACGATCTAGACACAGGTCACATCCGATAGCAGACAGGGCAGTTGATCTGAGCAGCGTACCACCCCAGTCACCAGAGAATCAGAACTAATGATTTCTGACAAAATAGCTAGTCTTAAAAAAAACAGGTGGGGGCTTGGTGCCTGTAGCGCCAGCCACATACACTGAAGGTCGCGGGTTCAAACTCAGCCTGGGTCTACTAAACAATGACAACTGCAACAAAAAATAGCTGGGCGTTGTGGCAGGTGCCTGTAGTCCCAGCTCCTCAGGAGGCTGAGGCAAGAGAATCCCTTAAGCCCAAGAGTTGGAGGTTGCCGTGAGCTGTGACGTCATGGCATTCTACCAAGGGCGACATAGTGAGACTCTACCTCAAAAAACAAAAACCAAAAACAAAAACAATGACTTGGTGCCTGTAGCTCAAGCGGCTAAGGTGCCAGCTACATACACCTGAGCTGGAAGGTTTGGATCCAGCCCGGGCCTGCAAAATGACAATGACAGCTACAACCAAAAAATAGCTGGATACTGTGGCGGGTGCCTGTAGTCCCAGCTACTTGGGAAGCTGAGGCCAGAGAATCGCTTAAAGTCCAAGAGTTTGAGGTTGCTGTGAGCTGTGATGCCACAGCACTCTACCAGGGGTGATGCAGTGAGACTCTGTCAAAAAAACCCCCAAACAAACAAAAACACAAAAAAGACTCTTACAGCGAGGCTCAGAATCCCAGATCCATTACAATGGAAAATGAGGCAGCAAAACCTGGGACAAAGGCATAAAAGTGCACAAATCAAACAAGATGGGCACTGGCACGCACAAATCCTGTCTCAGTAAGACGTCACTTGGAAGCCCTAATGATGAATGACTACATAAAAAAGAACTTTTGATCCATAAGCAAAGTCAAAAGAGAAGTGATAGCCAGGCGTTGTGGTGGATGCCTGTAGTCCCGAGCTACTTGAGAGGCAAGAGGATCACTTGAGCCCAAGTTTGAGGCTGCTGTGAGCTGTGACACCATAGCACTCTACCAAGTGAGACTGTCTCAAAAAAAAAAAAAAAAGTGAGAGAGAAATGACAAATTGGGACAAAAGTATTTATAAAATAAATAATATGGGAAGGCTACTGCCTTAATATAGGTAGAGTGGTAAAAATTCAATGAGAAACAGCCAACTAATAGGGCCAGCTCACGAAAAAATTCAAATGCATTTTGAAATACAAGAAAAGGTACTCCCCATCCTACTCATTAAAAAAGTGAAATTAAGGCTTGGAGCCTGTGGCTCAAGTGGCTAAGGCGCCAGCCACATACACCTAAGGTGGCAGGTTCGAATCCTCAGCCCGATCCTGCCAAACAACAATGACGGCTGCAACCAAAAAAAAAAAAAAGGCCAGGCGTTGTGGCCGGCGCCTGTGGTCCCAGCTACTTGGGAGGCGGAGGCAGGAGACTCGCTTGAGCCCAGGAATTGGAGGTTGCTGTGAGCGTGATGCCACAGCACTCTACCCAGGGGGACAGCTTGAGGCTCCGTCTCAAAAAAAAAAAAAAAAAGTGAAATTAAAATCAAGGCCTTTTCATCTATCTGACTCAGTGAAGCTACGCTGTGCTGGTGAGGATGTGGGAAAGGTGGCCCACCCTGCTGGAGCCCCTTCAGGATTAAAAGCACAGAACCTTTTCTCTGTAGACTTCCAGCTCTACCGGTTTGTCCTGCAGACTTAGTGGCACATAAAGGCAAACATGACACTCCTGCAAGGACGCCTACTGCAGCAGAGGTTGCCCACCTGAGGAGTAACTGCTGGGAATCAGTCAGATGTGCTCCTAAGGCAGGAGGCAAGTGCACAGCTCCATGAGGCTGCTGCCTCCAAGGTCTAGGCACAAGAGATGTGAGGTCCTGAGGACATTTGCTGAATGGATAGTCCTGGAGCCTGCTAGGGCGCTGAATCCGAAAAACACACGTCCAAGCACATGACTCTTGGACAGTAGGCCCTTGTTTCCTGAGAACCAGGAGTGTGTGGTGCACACTTCTTGCTTCCTGGGCATCCATGGCACATCTAGCAGCTCTGGGAGCTGTACCTGTGCATGGGTGCTGCCCTTCCTGCCTCTCTGGTTCCCAGGACCTCTGCCTTGCCCACACCAGCTTGGCTGGCTGTGCTGTCTGCAGCCCAGGTGCCACCACCAGGGCGGGGCTTTGGTAAGGACTATACAGTGGAACATAAATTTCATTTTTGGGTTTGGGTAAATTAGCAAGACTGAAAAAGGACTTTGGTAACTGAGAAAGGATTTAAGTGGACTACAGAGAACTTCAGCCCTCAATCTTGGTTTCAGGCCCAGCACATGAGCACTATGGACAGGAAAGACCTTTAGGCCTGAATCCCGAGGGACACAGAACTCTGCATCTTCACAGACGTGTCTGACACTGATGGGGGAATCCACAGCATCAGAGGATCCGGACAGTGAGCAGGGAGTGAGCTGTGTAGTGCTCCCATCAGGTGAGGCTGCAGCGTGGCAGCTGGATCTGGGGTAAACTTCGAGGTCTGCCAGGCCTGGAGGAGGTGCTGGGCACCCACAACTTCTGTAGAGCCACCTGCTCCCTTCTGCTTGGTGGGGAAGATGCTTGAGGACATGCACCAATGAGGAGCTGACAATGGCTGGGGAAGGGCCCTGGATGGCATACCCAACTGCTGCTCACAGCCCTGCTGGGTCTGCAGATGACATGAGGCTGAGGTGAACCCCACAGGCCAGAGGAAAGAAGAAACTGCCCCAAAGTTCTAGCTAGAAAAGGTGTTTTCCTCCCATTTTATTTGATAATACATTTTCACAGAAACATGATATTATTTACAAATATACAGGTAAGAGACTGCTGGTCAAAAATCTTAAACTGAAAATGTCATCAAAAATTAATTTACAAAAACCACCCATTGTCCACAGAGTCCTAGGGTGGAAGGTCTGGACGGTGTTCTGTGGCTACACAGACATGAGCCTTTTCCTGTCCACATCTCTGTGACCTCTTGTGTGTGGACCCCCAGGCCCAATGCCAGCCTTTGTACATGGCTGTTTTTAGGCCGGGGGTGTCTCCGCTCAGCAGGGCTGCTGTCTCAGGAGGCGCTGGTCTGCAGGTTTTTGGAAGCTGCAAGCATTGCTCTGACTTTGGCCATGAGATCCTGTGTAGGGGAGACATGGAGAACCTGTGAGACAACCTTGTAGCGAGGAAATTCACAATATAGACAGGACTGTTTCCAGAAAGTGGCCTTGGGAACATGTGGCAGTGGCTATGATCACACCAAGGGCAGTTTTCAGTGAGGCCTGTGCCACGCTCATGAACTCATTCCAGCCTTCCCCGCCTGACTGCACACGTGCTGTGGGTGCCAGACCAAGATGCATGATTGCAGTGAACCCCACAGGGCACCAGTCCAGGTCTTGAGGCTGGCCCAAGGAAAGAGACTCAGCCCCTAGCCCCTGAGTGAACTCTGGACAGGGTGACATCAGCAGCATTGGCCCCTGCCTTATGTCAGAACCAATAAAATGAGGGACAGGGAATGAAAGCAGTGGAGGAAAAAAACAACCCCCTTTATAACAAAATAGGAAAGAAGGAGGGATGACTCTCATTTTACCTGAGTTATTTTGCTCTGCACGGAAGAAACGATTGCTGAAGAGATCTGAGCATCTTTTTCCTGAGAAATTCCCCTAAAGCAAAGAGATCAAGAGAGGCTTACAACAGTCTAATAATTTTGAGACAAGTCCAATGAGTGACACTGTAAACTCTGGAATTATCCAAGAAATATCGTATTCTATTTGTTTCCAGTATCTTGAAAATAAAAATAAACATATATTTTATGCTTACTCATTTGAAATACTTTATAAAGTGCAATCTAATTCAAAATGTATTTTTATATAAATACTGCATAAGATATGAGGAAGAAAGAGATGGAAAGAAGTCTTAGAAAGGTGGAGCCATTCCCAGAATCCTAACACGTACAAGTGGGCATCGTGCCCACCTCTGAGAGGCCTCCCTCCAGGCAGGTGGCCTGACAGGCACATCTGGCTGCCATGCCTCTAATGTCTGACATCTTATCCTAAAGATGCCACCTCTTGGACTCCAACCCATCCCACATGAGCTATGGTCTCTGCTTAGCTGGGGACGGGCTAGCTTTCAGTGCCATGTGTGGACACACTGTTCATCTAAGGAAGAAACAAGTTTATAGCCGGGCGTTGTGGTGGACGCCTGTAGTCTCAGCTACTTGGGAGGCTGAGGTAAGAGAATCGGTTAAGCTCAGGAATTTGAGGTTGCTGTGATCAGCTGTGACGCCATGGTACTCTACCAAGGGCAACGTAATGAGACTGTCTCAAAAAAAAAAAAAAAAAAAAAGCAACAGGTTTGAAGCCCAGGGGGTGGGGGGCACAACGCTCCCAGATGCCACCCTTCCCAACTTGCCAGGGTGTGGGAGAGTGGGTGGAGGGTATCTGATTTCAGGTCACTGCACATGAAACTTGGATAGGAAAGGCCTCCTGACAACAGTGGGGTGCTGTCAACCAACAGCCACCAAGTAGGGGACAGGGAGGTGAGCATCTGGGATGCTACAAGGTTCATGCCCATGACTGCTCAGACTTTGATACTACCACGTACTACTGGCATGAGAGGCTGGTTGGCCCTAGCCCTTGTGGTTTAGTGATGAGTCAATAAAAGCTTGGGTCCCAGGTCACTGTAGAGCCCCAGTGCCTGGCTGGGATTCTCAGACCTTTGTAGCCACACTGTGGGGCTACAGCTGGGGCCACTCTCCCTTCATCCTCAAGACAAATGAGCAAGACTTCTGTTTCTAGGGCTGCCACCTAGGGTCCACATGGGGCTGGGAACCCTGGGCCCAAGCCTGCCTGCTTGAAGTAGAAGCCTGGTCCCCTGGCATCACAGGGGCTCATTTACAGGCAGCAGAAGAGGGCTTCCTGATTCTGGGGACTCCCCCATCCCTAGCACACTCACACCCAGGTAGAGACCCCTCTGTCAAGGGGCTGTGGTGCAGCCCAGGCCGGCTCACCTGGAGCGCTCCTGGCTGGAGCCCCGGCTCTCCACAGGAGAGACACTGGCTGAATGGGCTGAGGAGGCCGCAGGCCGGGGTGCTGCCTGTTTGCTTGGGGACACAGACTGAGACCGGGCCTTGGACTTGGTCCGAGATCGAGATCGCCTCTTCTTCTTCTTCTCGTGGGGACTTCTGAAAGGAAAGCGCCTTTGTGAGAGAAATGTCCGTTTGGCTGAAGGCACAGAATATAAGTCAGGCCATGGGGTCTGAGCTTACTTTTACCTAAGTGTTTTGAAGGGACCATTCAGGACTCAACTTTTCTACACATTAATTCTCTTTTTTTTTTTTTTTTT